CTGTCAATGTCCCCTCCTGAGTACAAGAATGCATGTTTCTCTACTATTTTGAATATGCATTAAAACACCTTTCTTCATGACACTTATATTGTTGGACAGAGTATTTTAAGAGGTTGGTAGACATGATATCAGCACTAGTACTCCAGCAGCAGCATTGTACACCATGGAAAGTCTTTAGAGACTGGCCAACATGAGGTTTAGAAATACTTGATGTTCTATTTCTTATATTAGTATTAATTTCCTTCATTTGTTTTTATAAAATTATTTCACACAGTTGATCCAAAAGACCATGCATCCATTATGTTTGGGTATCAACTTTAAATAAAAAAAGGGTATTTGTTAAGACAAAAAAGCTTTGTTGGTAAATGGCAGGTGTTCCAAAAAGTGTACAACTCACTTAATAACACTTTGGGCTGTTTCATTTGAACTGAGCGTGACTATCATAAAACAAATAATTAACAATAAAGATTACGTACATGAGAAGGACTTAGTTAGTTTTTGTGGTTGGTTATGGTTCCTAATCAAAAAATGAGGCTTACCAGCATTTTTACAGTTTTACATTTATACTGTACTTTATTTATCTGCATTTTGACTTTATTCTCTGTGGAATAAAGTTTTGTTAAATGGCCATCTATTGTTTGGAAAAACACAAGGAAAATAAATCATGCTGATATGTTTTCTTTCAAAGTGTTCAAACTGATGAAAACCTGTTGTTCACTTAAGCCCTGTGGAGTTTTCTTCCAAACAAACAAAAGTTCTGTTTAGATCCTCTGTTGCTCACTAAAGGTCAGTGTGTGTATACTTGAGGTCTAACAAATATGTTGAGTGCATTTCGTTCATGCACTGGGGAGATATAAAACTCCACAGGCAACTTTTAAATCAATACAAATCTAATATGAATGAGCTTTGTGTATACTTGTTGAAAAAAAAACTCTTCTTACACCACATTATTATCATAATGCCCACAGGAACAAGTTATATCTCTCACAGGCTACGCCCTCTACTGGACTCTATGGGTACTCCCCTCAATCCTATCTATGCACGCATTATTTCACTGAGACTTATACCAGTAGCCGCCCCCCTGGGCGGGCCTACCTGAATGTGCGCGCATCCACTGCATAAGAGGCGGCCCCGCCCGCTCACTGCTATCCCTTTCTCTTTCAGCTAAGCAGCTATTGAGTAACTGAGCGAGAGATTAAATAGAATAAAAGAACAGTTGTTTTCTTCGGATATAATTAAATATGGACTCACCTGACGAGCGCCCGTGTCCTTCGTGTCCGGGTTCTATCGGGGGTGATGATCCCCATACTCGATGCATCGAGTGTCTGACCACGCGGCAGCTAACCTGCCTCCATCGGCAACTTGCAGTGCATGTCAGATGTTGACCCGGTCCAGCCGCCTGTACAGAGTGGCGGTGTTCGAGGGGTGTTACGTCTCGCCAGTGGAAGACCCAGAGCTCGACGTGGTGGAGATGGTGGACCTCGTGCAGGGAGTGCCTTTCGTCTTCGCCGTCCCAGCAGCCCGGACGGGTCCAGGCATCAGAGAGGTGGGCGACGATGACGACACCTTGTCATCCGGGATTTCCGCTGACCGCCAGGAAGGCCATCAGCAGAGGTCGGCTCGTCAGGACTTCTCGGCGGTGATGGCTATGGCGGCGGAGCGTGCGGGCTTGCCGCTTCCCCCACCAATACCTCCAAGGCCGGTGAGCCGCCTGCGTCAGGGCTTCGTCTCACCCCCTCTGCCGGACATCTGGCGGTGTGTGAAAGCCACGTGGCGGCAGCAACTAAAGACGAAGGCTACGGTGGCTACTTGGGCAGGAATCCTCAAGGTGGAGGGCCGCTCAGACACGGAGTGTTTCGGTGTGCCCCCGCTAGAGGATAGCCTGGCGATGCATCTGCTTCCACAGGCAGCTGGGTGGGCAGAGGGGATGAGGGATTTGGCGACAAGTCAGTTTTTGCCCAGCCGCTGATGTCGCGGTTTTTGCGAGGGTCAGCCTCTATCTTAAATAAATAAGACAAAATATAATCAATTCTATGATCATTTCTACATACACAAATATGCACAATGTATATAAATCAACACAGCTTTAACATGAATTGAACTGCACCGTTATATTCACTATAAGCTTTCCAATGTATTCATTGTAATTCTAGAACTTAAACAGTTATAAATGGCATCATATTTTAAAGATATAATCAACCATTTGTACATTTATTCATTAACTCGTGAATCATACGATGCAATCAAAGGCATTAAGACGTATGCAGATGTAGCTGGATTTCTTACAAACAATAACACATTGCTCACAGAGCCATGCTTTGCCTATTTCCTCTGTAATGATCACCTGACACACCCATCTAATGATGTCATCCTGATTCTTAAAGGGACCACGACTAGGCACAATAAGCACACAAATAATAGCCCAGAAAATGCAAACAAGAGTAAACTTAGCTGTTACAGAACAGGGTCGTTTTTTGGTTGAGGACAGGCTAGACTATATTTACAACCTATAGTCACGTTTTAAAGTTAGCAACTCTAGTGGTCATGTAAGAAACAACAATGTGCGGCATATGCTCCCGTTGATTGCAAGCGCTCCGGAGGGTCGTATATTCACAAATAACCCTCTGTGGAAAATCCTAAATTGTGGATGTGTAGGATCTATATTTTGATAGAGATTACGAGGAAGATTTGAGGTCTCGCCAGGAGAACATGTATACTACGTCTATGTAAAGTTGGCGTCAACCCTCACGGGGTGAAAACAGTATTTAAATCATGAGAGACGTGATGTATGAAATACATGTTTATTACCGGACACGTGGTATAGAAAATTATGATTGACGGATTACAACAAAGAATCAACTGATGTTTGGAGATTAGGCCCCCGGTTTGTAGGATATCATTCAGGAGGGGAAAACCGCTCCGATGAACCCCCCGGGGTCTAGACACTGGTGGTGGTGATAATGGTTCGGTCTGGTCTGGAGGAAGAAGGATTAGCTTGGCCCTGAATTAGGAGACAGGAGGCGAAGGGGTGGAGGCGGGTTGTGCGTTGACACCTGAAATGACAACTGACAGAGAGGGAAGAGCAGATTTAAAGGGTTAGCAGGTGCGATGATTGACTAGCTGGGGAGTACCGCCCCTGATTACTTAATGGGAGAAGAGCTTGCAGTGACGTGTAACACCAGGGGTATGGTCTTCCTTCTTGAACTTGCGCTAAGCTTCATTTCAATCATGAGAGACGTGATGTATGAAATACATGTTTATTACCGGACACGTGGTATAGAAAATTATGATTGACGGATTACAACAAAGAATCAACTGATGTTTGGAGATTAGGCCCCCGGTTTGTAGGATATCATTCAGGAGGGGAAAACCGCTCCGATGAACCCCCAAAGAGAAGAGAAGTAAGAAGTGCTGAGATGTGAGCATTTCTTACCTTGCTGGCTGATTGAGGAGATCTGTGGATGAAATGAGATAACACAGGGACATGATGAGAATGTCGGAATAACTGTAGGGTTAATGTGAACGCCGCCATGCTTAGCGCCTGCATGGTGGATTAGACGAATGCTGACCCACTGGCCGCAACCTGCACGCGCAGGGTTAAACATGACGCTGACCCACCGGCCGCAACCTGCACGCGCAGGGTTAAACATGACGCTGACCCATAGGCCGCAACCTGTACACACAGGGTTAAACAAAAGCTGACCCATAGGCCGCAACCTGTACACACAAGGTTAAACAAGCTGACCCATAGGCCGCAACCTGTACACACAGGGTTAAACAAAGCTGACCCATAGGCCGCAACCTGTACACACAGGGTTAAACAAAAGCTGACCCATAGGCCGCAACCTGTACGCGCAGGGTTAAACATGACACTGACCTACTGGCCCTGCACGTGCAGGGTTTAAACATAATGCGTCTCACTGGCCGCAACCTGCGCGGCAGGATTCAATACAGCGGACCCGAAGGTCACAACGATACAGTATGAAGTGTTTAAACGTGAACACGGTGACACGTAAATGTGCTGACTTGCTAAACCACCACCAGTTGTATATATAAGTACCGTTAGTGTTTGAGGGACCTTTGGATGGCCAGCACGGCACTGATGTCCGGGCGAATGTAGGATGTGAAGGCAGAGGAGGACCACCGTCCAAGTTGTTGCAGGGATGAGGATGAGACTCCTTGAATGGCAGCAGATGTAGCTGCGCCTATCCTGAACGAATGCCCCGAGAATAATTGGGGTGCTAGTCCGGATTTAGAGAGAATTTGTTTTAAATAGTAGTTGAACCGGTGTTTAGTTAAGGGAATATTCCCTGGGAGAAGAAATTGTGGTGAGAGAGGATTTGTGGAAGATCTCAAATGCAGGAATGTAATCATGGATTTATAGGGGCAGAAAGGAGAATCGTTGCGAGCAGCGCTAACGGAGCAAACGCCTCCACATTTGGAGTGCTTAAGTTTTAGACTAAAATGGCTAGCATGGAAAGATAAGTCGGCAAAGCAGACGTCTTGATTGGGATCGAATGTTAGGGAAGCTGTGCCGAATTCTCCTGGTCTGAGAAAAGCATAGAATGCTAACAGAAATAATGCATCGAGTAGTGCGTCGACGTAGGGAGAAAATACTCCTTCTCTGAGTTTGGAGAGCATGAGATGCAGGGTGGAGAGTGTAATGGGTCGCCTATGATCTGTAACTGTGGGAAACGTTTTTTGAAGACCTTTCAAAATGAGTTTGACTGATTGGTTAGAAAACAGGCTGGGAAAGCTGGGATCGTAACAATGAACATTAAACTGCACGCCAGCTAGGAGGCCTCGGATGTATTGAGGTTTGAGGTGGCGATCAGTGGCGCAGTAGCACGTGAAGGCGCACACGGTGGATATGAGGACGGGTTTAAGTGAGATGTTTACAGCAAAGCGAAGGTTCTCCATGCGGAGTCATATTTTTTAAGGGTGGAGATGGCTAAGCCCTTCCTCATAAAGAACCTGGCGGACTCTAGGTGCCTGGCTAATGGGCTCTCATTTAAGAGAGGGAGAGAAGATGCAGGGGAGGGATCTCGACGGGCTGTGAGCTGGCTTCTGGGCAGAGATTCCGGAAGGTCTGGAAATGAAAGCGAGAGAGGGAGTCAGCCGCTGTATTGAGGTGACCGGGAACATGACGAGCTGAGATGAGAAAGTTATGGGTAATGGAAGACCATGTGATGCTTCTCATAAACGGCATAATGTCATTGCACGGGGAGCGAGCTTTGTTAATTATTCCCACTACTGCTTGGTTGTCGCAGAGCACCGAGATGCGTTTCCGTAGCCAGAGGTGACCCCACACATAACAGGCAACTGCGATAGGGTAGATCTCGTGCAGGGCGGAGGATGAGGCATGATTGGGGAATGTGGAAGGCCATGGGCCCGCAAACCACTCTCCCTGAAATAAACCCCCAAAACCCACGGATGGGGCGGCGTCCGTGAAGAACCTCATTGAGTCGGAGGAATACACTATGTCATCATAGAAGAAGGTGATGCCGTTCCAGTGGTCGAGCAGGAGGGACCAGAATCGTAGGTCTGAGCGGCAGCCTTCATCTAGCACAACGCGGTCATGGAGGTTTTTAACGCCCAAAGCTGTGTCTAGAAGGCGAGATATGAATGAGCGCCCCTGGGGGATGACGCGCATGGCAAAGTTAAGGTGCCCGAGGAGAGAGAGCAGCTGTTGTTTAGTTATGGTTTGTTGCCCGCAATATGACTTGGTAATATCACGTATGCGCTGCAATTTGTCGCTGGGGAGAGATGCTTTCATCTCTGCGGAATCGGGTGTGATGCCTAGAAACTCCAGGCGTGTGTCAGGTCCTAGGGTTTTCTCCGCGGATAGGGGAACGCCTAGCTTCTGAAAGCAGAGTTTAAGTTTTGCCAGGGAGGCGCCTGAGTTGTCACGAGGGGGATCTACGAGGAGAAAATCGTCCAGCAAGTGAAGAACAGAAGGTATTCTGGCAATGTTCAGCAGGATCCAGCAGAGGGCTTCGGAAAGAGAATTAAAAATGCAGGGGCTACTTCTGCACCCGAAAGTCAGGCGGACGGCGAAGTAGAATTTGGATTCCCACCTGATGCCGAACATGTTCCACTGGGACGGATGGATGGGGATGATTTTGAACGCGTCAGTTATGTCTGCTTTGGAGAGCCAGGCTCCTTGCCCTGTGAGCTTTATTATTTTGATTGCGTCGTCAACCGAGGCATATTGAAGGGAAAATGGCTCTGAAGGGATGAGGCTGTTAATGCTGCAGAACGGGCCGGCGCGGGGTGCGGACAGATAGAAAATTAGCCTTTTCTTTTCGGAGTATTTGCGTGTGGCTACTCCTATTGGACTTGTCCGGAACACTGAGAACGGGGATGAGTGAAAAGGACCTATTAAGTATCCTTTATTACATTCTTTCTCAATGAGCTGAGAGACTATGATGGGTTCTTTATTTGCTGATTGTAGGTTTTTTGCAACGAAGGTTATGGGGGGAGGAGAGAGGACCCCGACCCTAAAGCCTTGGGAGAGCCCTGACAAAAGGTAATTGACGAACACTGGGTCTGGGTGGGTAGAGAGCGCGGCGGCTAGGTATGGAATGTTAATGGGAGTGGACGGGTGAATTTTTAGGAGGTTTTTCCACCACGTGGTTTCTGTTGCGGGAAGTTGATTCGGCGGCGCTTGGGGCAGACTGACTTCGGATGCGCATCCCCGCAGAAGCTGCAGATGTGGAGAAAAGTACAGGAGGGGTAAACGCAGACATTCTCGTTAAAGCCATAATATATCCTGTCATTTCTCCTAGTCTGCACCTGGCGTTCTTGGCCATAACTCCCTGGATACGGCGTGGGAAAATCTCTGGCCCTGGAGAGAGGCACTGATGGGCAGAAAGTGGCAGTGTGGCCCTGCGTCCCGCAAGTAGAGCATGAGTGGACTTGTTGCCCGCCGGTAGCCATGACAAGCAGCTCAGTGTCCAGCACGGACCAATCCAGGTGGATGTTGCAGTGAGCTAGATGGCGCGCTGCTTTGCTAGAAAAGCTCTTGTGGTAATAATAAAAAATTGATTTCCCGTATTTAAGCTGGAGATCACCGATGATGCCCAGATACGCATCCAACTCGGTTCTCTTTTCGGGGTAAACGGTACATAGGACATCTCGGAAGATGCCGAAAGCGACCAGGAACTGTCCTATGTTTAGATCTTTCAGAAGCCGGGGATCTGTGGACCTAAACACAGCAGTGAAGCTTCCTCCTGTGGCGATAGACTTGTCACATTCCGGGGAAGGCAAGATGAGGCTGACGAGATTAACGTCTTTCCCTTCGAGGATTTTCGCCTTCAGCCTGGAGGAAATATGCGCGGCTTGGGGAATATAAGGCCTACATGAAGGCGGCTCTGGAAATGCGGTAGCCAGGGTGTGAGAGGGGATTACCGCTTGATGATATGACTGGCCCTGCCCCGGCCTAAGCCCCTGAGCAGGAGCGTCGCCCCAGTTTGCGGAAGAAGTTGACGCTCTAGCAGAGCCTTTATCCATGGCCTGAAGGTGAGCGTTAATTCCCCGCATGGAGCTTGCCAGATTTTGCAGGGTGTTAGCGAGGCTGTCGTCCTGGTTACCGAGGCTCCCGAGCTGCCCGGCGCTTGGGTGCGCTTGGGGAAAGTTGGATTTTCTTTCTTTTTTTCCTGGGCGAGCTTGTGGAGGGCTCCGCTTCCTCGTCCTTTTCCCTCCGCGGCTACGCCCGCGTCCTCGCCCCGGTCTCTCGGGAGAGTTGGCTGGAGAGTTGGCTGGAGAGTTGGCTGGAGCTGCTGCACTGGGCTGGGAGGCCGCACCAGGGACTTGGTCCGAGAGTTCCCGAAGCTGGGAGAAAGGGAGGTCTGGGGCTGCGGAAATGCCCTGCCGCCGTAGGTGGTAGATGAGGAAATCCGCCTCTGCTGTTCGGGATTCGCCACGAGAAGCCAGACGGGAGCTTGTGCGCCGTTGGCTTGAGGAGATGGAAGGTACGCCTGGAGGTATGTCGGAATCGGGATCGAGATCCTGCGGAAAAGCTTCGTTGTCGGAGCCTTCTATAGTGGACATGTTTTTTTTCTTTTTTTTTTTCTTTTTCTTTTTGTATCTTTCTGAGTGTTTGTTAGCGAGATAGGAGTATAGGTAGGTACTACCAATTGTGCGTTGACACCTGAAATGACAACTGACAGAGAGGGAAGAGCAGATTTAAAGGGTTAGCAGGTGCGATGATTGACTAGCTGGGGAGTACCGCCCCTGATTACTTAATGGGAGAAGAGCTTGCAGTGACGTGTAACACCAGGGGTATGGTCTTCCTTCTTGAACTTGCGCTAAGCTTCATTTCCGGTCTCGAAGTTTTCATAAAATAACCGGAAGTATTCCCCTCACTGTCAAATGACTACACACTGATATCTGCATTACTCATCCACTGAAAAACATCAGTTTATCCTTGTTAATTACACAACATTGATTGGTTTAAATTGTGTACGATGCTTTTGTCTTTTTAACCTTCGATACGGAGAAAGAAATAGTTTTTTCGGAGTTTAGGATGGCCGAAGACACTACACTACCCATAATCCTCAGCTATCGTTTGGGACAACAACATCCGCTTTGCTTGACAAACCCCGTGATTAGTCCTCAAGCTCTGTGATTGGATGTTGGAGTGTCAGTCAGTGCGCCAAGGTTACGCCGAGCTCTTTGAAATGGAATGAATCCACGGCAGACTATCCCAAACTGGACTCGAACGGGTCCAGCCCAGCCCCCCCAGAACTACACATGCTGGCTAATTGTGTTTCGCAACATGTTCTATGGCACATCTCTACTGGGAATTGTAGTTTTAAAAGACGTTTTCGTATTTCCCATAATTAGAAGTTGCCAGTATTAAACTGGATAAGAAACACATTGGTGTTATCCAATTTAAAACATATAATTCATAAATGGGTGAAAATCGCTTGTGTCCATAATGGGCAGCATTAATATACCCACATGACAGCTAAGGTCAGAAGAGCTTTATTTAACAGCTGGTCTTATGTCTGTGACCCTTCCTGTTGTTAATTGATAAGCCTGAAACATGCACTTGTCAAGGTTCAGAGGCACATTTTGCAAATATGGCAGTAGCCATCGATCATCTTAAGATAAGATAAGATAAGATGTACTTTATCGATCCCAAGTTGGGAAATTATTTTGTTACAGCAGCATGTACAACATGCAATTTATTGTTACTTTGTAATTCTACTCCACTACAATTTAGAGGTTAACCTGGTATTTTTACTCCACTACATTTATTTTAGTAACTTTGCAGATTCTGATTAATGATGTGAAATATAAATAACCCTTAAAGCAGACTTTAGTTACACCTGAGTAAAATTCAGGGAAGGTGATTGTCAAGTGCCAAAATAAACGATGCAATATATTAGACGTTAAGTACTTTGTCCGACTTAATATTTATATGTTGATACCCCCAATGTTTTTTTCTTATTCAAAAGAAGACCTTAACTTAAAGTTGTTGTTGATGTTTAAATAAAGCCTTATTAGTGTGTCTGTTTTGCACATCCTCCTATTAACCTGTTAAGCCCTGAGCCTGTTTTTCAGGTCTCAGGCTCGAAAATGACTTTCCCAGACCATATATTCCCTTCTAAAAGGGTTAAATTAATAATCTTGTTTCTCAAAGTAATTATAAACCTGTGAGTTGGATGTAGAAAAGTCAGAATCAATATAGATGTTTTTTATTTTAAAGAAAATTCAGATTGAACATAGTAAAAAAACTGTAAATTATAGTGTCCGTCCAAAAATTATTTTTTACTTATAGTGAGAACTACCCTTGGATGATGGTAATGTAGACTAAAAGCTTTAGGAATCCAAAGTACAACATATAATAAGTACCCTGTATCAAGATTGATGCAAAACAAGTGACATTTGACCTTTTTAGAGAGATTTAGCACAAAAAAAACACTTCTGGGGTCATTTGGGTGGATTTTCCATATCTCTGGCCCCCCTTTGGTCGATTTTGACGAATGTAATATCTTTATAACCGCTAGAGCCAATGGAATCGAAGGGGGATTTGCTCACACACACGGTAAAAAAAAAAGGTGGGGGCTTTGCGCATGCAGGTTCGCATCAGAGTGAACCTATCTCTTGCACATCTGGAAACGGAAAAGCAGGTTTATTGCTTATGGATTATCAGAAATAATTTCAAAGGGACACAGACACATTGGATTAACCTATGGATTAACTTCAGCAGCGTTGTTATCGTTTTAATGCCATTGAAGACCACTTTTGACCAGACAACGCCAAAGGTAAGCCATGTTTGCGTTTTTAGCTACCTAGCGCCACATGTTTTGATGTCTGTTTTTGTTTATAAAGTCACGAGTTCTAATCATGGAGTGTCAAGTTTATTACTATTAACTTTATTGTGAAATTAAAACAGAACGGTAAAGAAAAATACAGTTTCAGTCACTCGATTTGAAGCTTACTGTATGTATTGTACCATGAACCTGTATAGACCTGTAACACTCAACTGGTGAGGAGTTGGAAAGGTAGTTTCTGAAGATTTGTAACAAATAACACACAGCATACAATGCCATAATAACTTTGCATTATTAGTGTAGGACACTTATGTATGTATAACATCTGAAGATGTGTAGTTTTATTCATGTTTTCACATAATTTTACAGGATATTGCTATAATATTTCACATATTGTAGTTCTACACATTAATATCTGATTTGTAAAACATCATAGACAGAAAGGTATATCCATCATTTAATGGTAAGCTATTGAAATTCTGAATCCATATGTGACCCGCTCTATCAAAATCAGTCGGAAGTCGCAACGGCTCATTTCAGAATAAACGTACATTTACGTAAAAAAATATTTTTTCAGGGTTCGGGTGTTTTGTTTGATTTTAAACAAACAAAGTCTTGGCTTTCAGAATATGAAACTTTTATTTCCAAAATCACACGATAAATACATTTTTTAAGCTTGTAAGGGACGAAGACAGGCACCTCTCCCTCACAATCTGCTCTTCCGCAGCGCCGCCCCCCCTCCCTCCGGCTGAAATTATGAATGTAAGAGTATAGTAATCATAGATAACACGGCAGGGTCCGTTACAGTTTGTTTTCATCTGATTTCAATTAAACAAAGTCTTGGCTTTCAGAATATTAAACTTGTTTTGGCAAATTCAGATGATAAATACAACTTTGAAGCTTGTAACGGCATAATTACAAGCGGAGAACGGAGTAACTTAACATCACAGCAGGCATAACAACAGCCGGTGTTTCTCGTGAGTGTTTTCCCCGGGAAACAAACACAATACACACAAACGCAAAATTACACAAACACACATACACACGTATGCACACACACTAGCGAGCTTCCCCTCCAAACGAAAATATCTTCCCTCCGTAGTATTTTGATCATTTGCTCCACTAATAATCAATCAGATCGATGGATTCCAGAGAAGAGGAAACTTTTAAGGCCTTTTTCTCAAAATGAGGACTCGGTGACAGTCATTATATAATGCGACATATTTCGCTTAATATTTGGAGTACAAAAACAATCCTGATATCATTAGAAAGCTAGGAATATCCTCTTTCCAACAGTGTATACAACTCAAAATGTGTCTTCGGGTCAATGCGACTGATTTCGATGGAGCAGGTCACATATGTGTCTCCCATCACCCAAAACCCCTGACTATTCTCTCAACTCAGTATTTAGATTCTTTAATGCAAAGAAACTCAGTAATATCTGTAAAAACTACAAGTCATTTTCTATCAGCTGTGCACCGTTATGGTGTAAATACAGCCTATTTACCAATTGGATCAAATACAAAAGTCAGCCAAATTAGTGTTGATACTGCAAGGAGACGTATTGTGTGAAGAGAAATTGAAGATGTTGTTTAATTGCTGATATATTTATGATCCACGTCACATATTCAGTTTCGGCGGCATTTCTTCCAGTTTGTCCAAAGGTCTTCTAATCAGGGCTCTATAAATAAATAACTAAGGCAGATGTGTAATATTTAATGCAGCCGAACCGTGTATTACAATGCCGTTATATGATGACTTTCAAAGAGAAAAACAAGCACACTCTAAATAAAGTATTATTTTCTTCTTTTTTTTATGTTTTCGGATTTCACATCACATAAACACCATATCCCAACGTGCATTGCAGCTAAAACATCCAATCACCGAGCTTCAACGATAGCTGAGGATTATGGGTAGTTTGATGCTTTAGCCTATCAAAACCTCTGAAAAAGAAATGTGTCTCTCAGAATCAAAAGGGAAAAACCTATGGGAAAAACACAAAAGCAGTGTACACAATTGAAACCAATTAATTTTGTGTAATTATATTACACTTTTAATAAAAGCATAAACTGATGTTCTTTGGTGGATGAGTACTGCATATGTAACTTTAAAATAATTTGACAATGAGGGAAATACGGTTTTATTATGAAAACTTCGAGACCGGAAATACAGTTTTCACCCGTGAGGGTTGACGCTAACTGTACATGGACGCTGCCGTTACACTTTCTCCTGGTGAGACCTCAAATCATCTTCGTAATATCTATCAAACTATAGATCCTACACATCCACTGGACGTGGATTCTAAAAGTACAATATACTCTTCTCGCTAGAAATCTAATCAAAAAGCATTTTAATGGCCAAACTATCTACAATTTAGGATTTTCCAGAGAGGGTTATTTGTGAATATACGACCCTCCGGAGCATTTGCAGTCAACGGAAGCATTAGAGGTCAAACACTTTAAAACGTGATTACAGGTCGTAATAAGCGCTTGAACAATCGACCTATTTGGTCGTAATAAGGGCTTGCACAATCGACCTATTTGGTCGTATGAGTTGGAGGACTTGTTGATATAGTCACCTATTGGTGAAAATGCATATGGTCACAAACCCCACAACAATCATGGCAGGAGTCCACTTTTGAGTTATACAGTAAGTTAGGAACCAACAATTAAATCAGAGTACAAATGTCACAAAACACAAGATGTAAAATAAGGCGATGGTCATGAACCTAGCTTTTGGTTAATCCGTTTCCTGATTTATTTTGAAAAT